ATAAATTATCAAAATTTTATTTTAATACAATATATAAAACTTGTATGTGAATAATTCTCTATTCATTTAATTATGTCACATTATAATTCAAAATTCTTCTTTTCAAAAGGCCAAATATACAAATTGTTTCTCAAAATTATCTCTGTTGAAATAAATTACCACTTAAAAGATAAATCCACCTATAAAATTTTCGATTTGAACAAATCACTTCAAAATTTATGTGTGATATCATCTGACGTCAACAATTCATTGATTTGTTATGTTGTCAATAACAGATTGTTAACGTCAAATAACATTAAATTAATGAATTGCTAATATCAGATAACGTCAAATTAATATATTGCTGATGTCAAATAATGTTACACGTTAAATTTAAAGTGATTTATTCAAATTGAAAACTTTATAAGTGAATTTATCCTCCTTTTTGTCCAAAGGTAAATTTGTCTCTACTATTATACTTTAGGGGTGCATTTAGATATTTTACCTTTTATAGCCTATTCCTTTCCAAAATAATCAATTACCTTGATTAAGGGTGGTTTTCTTATCAGAAAAAAAGCATGAAACTCATTCGGAATTTATATGGTAATATATTTAATTAGAGTAAAAATTTATTTACATGGATATTATATATTATATTTATATAAAATTCAAAAAGATAATTATATTACTTTATATGATAATATGTTTATTAAAAATAATTATTTTATATTTAAAAAATATAATAAATTTTAATTATTGAAAATAAAAGATAAATTATCAAAATTTTATTTTAATACAATATATAAAACTTATATGTAAATAATTCTCTACTCATTTAATTATATCACATTTTAATTCAAAATTCTTACTTTTCAAAAGGCCAAATATACAAATTGTTTCTCAAAATTATCTCTATTGAAATAAATTATCACTCAAAAGATAAATTTACCTACAAAGTTTTCGATTTGAATAAATCACCTCAAATTTAATGTGTGACGTCATATAATGTTAGCAATATGTTAATTTGTTGTGTTGCTAATAACGGATTACTAACGTCAAATTAATGAATTGCTGATATTAGATAATATTACACGTTAAATTTAGATTAATTTATTCAAATTGAAAACTTTGTG